CCCGGGATTTTATAAATGTAGGGGCAGTTCTTAATGTGAAGTCAACATTAAGTTGAATGGGGTGGCCGGTGAATTAGGAGCTGGTGCGATGCTCTTTGTGGATTTTTCTCCTAATTTTGAGCCACCCTAAAACCCTACAAACCCCTGCATAATCTCAGTTGTCATTTCATTTTCCGTTTTCTTTTCCATTTGATTCTCCACTCATGGGCCATGGGGGTAATATCAACATCAATTTTGGATAGCTATCCATGTGGAAAGGAATGCCGCTGTCAAGCCTGCAGAGGCCGGCATGGATGCGCAATGTTCAGACTTTGGATACTGCCCCCACTCATTGACAGCCCGAGAAGATTTAGAATATAGCTGTATAGAGCCCTAAATATGAACCCTATTCTGGATTGTTAATATGTGGGGGCAGCACCCAACTCAGACTGGTAGAGGCTTCAGAGATGTCTTCTCGCACGGGAGCCACGGATTGCTCCATCCAGCGAAGCCCCAACATCCTCAACAGCTCAGCAGAAAGGCATGAATTTCTGGAAGACACCACCAGACTGCGACAATCGAATAGTAGCTTAGTAGCTTGCAGACTAGCCTTCGCCTTCGATCGCTGACAGGAATCCCCGGCAGTGCCCAGCACAGCGCTCAGACGTGCCTAGAACTATTGCTGTTTTGGTTTCTGAACATGAGGGAGGTGATTTGCTGGGGTGGAGCCGCACAAGGAAGAACCATGGTATTTTGCAACTGTCCGGGAGCCCTGTTCGTTTTGATAAGTACACATTTAAGAGTAGCACCTTTAGTACCGGCATTTTGGTAAAGCACGCTTGAGCTGAGCATGATGGCCGACGAATGGCCAACCTGCATCCATGTTGCACAGATGCAGTCCAGCTTTTCGGAAAGGCCAAAAGCTCGGCAATACGCTGCGCCCGCCATCGAGCTCTGACGACGCGGTCCGTGAGGGGGGTAGCTTGAGCGCTCTCATGAATGGACTGGAGAGAAGGATTGCAAACACGCCGTGTTTCGCAATGCCCTGTTGGTGATGGAATCCAAGAGGTTTGTTTCCCATCTGCGCTATCGACTTCGACACTGTCGCCTACAGACCCTGGAGGCAGAGCACATATTTTTTGCATCGCAGCCTGCAGGAAGCAGCGGCTTCGCTGCCGTTGCCTACCTCTCGGTCGCTGGGCGCTCATACCTTGCATAGTTCTCCTGATTCCTTCGCACTGCCAAGTGCTTGCTCCCACATCCAGTGTGTTTAGAGGGGGGCTGGCTTGAAAGATGCACGCTAGCATAGCTCTAGCAATGGTTGTGTTGTTAAGAACCTGAATGGCTGCGAGAATGACTTATTCCCTACTGCGAGCTGCGTTTCCAAATATGCAACTGCTGTGTGGAGGTTTTTCTTGAGATCGAGTTCATGCAGAAATGGTTCAGGGCTCTATTCTGGACAAAATGGGGAGAAACCACATGTCTTAAGTGGGCATGTCAACTGATCACTGCAACGTGAAGCCTGCCCAGAGGAAACGAAATAGTAACAGTAACAGCGCCAGCGACAGTAATATGAGTCTTCGTCGTCGTGGTCGACGTAGTAGTAGTATCAGTAGGCGTCGTCGCCGCAGCAGCAGCAGCAGCAGCAGGCGTCGTCGTCGTCGTCGTCGTAGTCGTCGTCGTCGTAGTCGTAGTAGTAGTAGTAGTAGTAGTAGTAGTAGTAGTCGTCGAAGTAGTAGTCGAAGTAGTAGTCGAAGTAGTAGTCGAAGTAGTAGTAGTAGTAGTAGTAGTGGTAGTAGTAGTAGTAGTAGTGGTAGTAGTAGTAGTAGTAGTCGTCGTCGTCGTCGTCGAAGTAGTCGTCGAAGTAGTCGTCGAAGTAGTCGTCGTCGAAGTAGTCGTCGTCGAAGTAGTCGTCGGCGAAGTAGTCGTCGTCGAAGTAGTCGTCGTCGTCGTCGTCGTCGCCGGCGTCGTCGTCGTCGTCGTCGTCGTCGTCGTCGTCGTAGTAGTAGTAGTAGTAGTAGTAGTAGTAGTACTGCTGCTACTACTACTGCTACTACTGCTGCTGCTGCTACTGCTACTGCTACTG